GGCGAGGACGGCGAGGACGGCGAGGACGGCGAGGACGGCGAGGACGGCGAGGACGACGAGGATGGTATGGACCGCGTGGGCGGTTGAGAGATGAAACGCGCAACCCAAGCGACACTTCAATGGCCGCGACCAGCGCCAGCTACGAGCGGACGGTGGGTGAGGTGACGAAGGACTTTTCGAGAATTCTATGGGAATATTTCTGTGCTTATTAGACACTATCGATTTACATTTTGTCTCAGCTTTGGAAATATCTATAGTAATTTCTATGGGATCTCGAAAGGTCTCCTGAGGAAATGCTCCTATTTCTACACCTTCTATTCTCACATAACTCGCTTTATTAAACCGGTTGCCTATAGGTTAGAGCCAGAATTGCCGTTGCCTCACGTGCGTAGTACGGCGGCTCTCACTGACAAGTTTTAGAGTTTGAGTCCGGATGGTGACGAATTTTCGGCACTTTCTCTATACCATCCAGCGAAGTCACTGCCCCCTCCAATTACATAAAATAATATAACATTCACCACAGCAATGGGAATAATAACGATAGCAGTTGTACCCCACCTCTTCATCAATTTCCTTTGATTGGCTTTAATTTATTTTACTTTTAGTAATCTGTCATTAGAAACAATTTCTTCAAACTTCCAATTAAGATTGAAATGCTAAACGTTGAGATGACTTCGTGAATATTTTAAGTTAAAAGAAGTTCACTCCCATAAATTTATCAACAATCAACAAAATTTCCTTCTTTATGTTATTAAAAAGAAATTTTGAAAATAAACTGTCTGAATATTAATTAACTATTAAATCATTCTAATGTTTAAAGCCACATTTCTCTGAAATATATAGAAATGAGTTCACTTCTTCTAATCTTCAGACACGAAAATTCTACATTTTTAATAAACGAACCGATCACGATTGCAAATGCAATAAAAGGAAATTGTAGTGTGAATAATGGTTGCAATTACTTGCGAGACTATGATATTATTAGTTGTGATATATGCCATGGATGATGTATTTGGTGTGAATATTGATTACGTGATTGCAACAGTGTTGACCACGCTGACACGCTTGACTTGTTATGTAGAGTAGTTTCTATTCTTGTGGTTTGCGGGGGTTTGTACGTGCTGATTATTACTCTGTTCATGACGATTGTTATTGATAACGCTCCTTTGTGTTTGGGGTCGAGTCGCGTCATTGTCAGATTGGCAGACCGTGTGGGAACCTCCACAGTTTATACAAGTTGGAGTGCTATCTTTTGGTTTCGTGTATTGTGAATACTGATGGGCTGCATTACATTTAACGCATCTACATTGAAGCTGACAGTTAGCATGAGTATGATTGAACCTTTGGTAGTATCTGCACTGTATATATCCATTTGTTTTGATTCTTCTCTGTTCCTCAACAATACAACGAATAAATCTATCTTACTTGAATATTGGTTTAGGTTCGTTTGAGTTTTGATCATCAGTGTCTTTAAGGTCAAAAATACAAATTTGAAGGGGCTCTCTTTCTTACACAGTCTCATTTTCTTGGTGATTGCGTATTTCAAAATTAATGAGTTCATCCAGTATTTCACTTTCGCTTAACATTTCGAAAATGCCTTTGCACACTAAAGGTTTGCTGGTTGGGTCTTGGAATGAGTAATCTTTCACTTTTTCTTTATCACAGAACGTCTTGTAACTTCTGAAGTTTTCTATTACAGCAAACAGAATTTTTATTTCGTTCTTCATCACTTTAGTTGAGAAGTTATTAGTAATATTTTTGATCTGCTCAACGAGTTGGGGATATTGTTAACAAATGACTTGGATATGGTATTTTAATTTTAATAAAATGACCCTATGGTATTTTAATTTTAGGTGTTTGTATGGGTGTAGAGATTTCGTCAGTACTTGCTTCGGTATTTAGAGAACTGAAACGAGAAGATACTTCTATATTGTACACGTATTCCAGTTCATCTTAACACCGCTAACGTTTTCACCTACTTGTAACCAAGTTGGACGGTGTACTCACGGTTAGAGGAGTATTTTGATTTGGCATTAAATGTTTACTGGGCTGAATTCTAGATATGCCATGTCACTGAAGTGTTGCACTGCTATGGATTGTTGAGGGTTGGCTTCCCTGTCTGCTCCTAGCTGCCGCTGTAGTTGCAACGGCTAGTTCGTTTATAGTTGAAGTTGAAACAGCATGTAAGGCTGCATTGAATGGTGAGTTTCGTTTAATGTTTAATGATGTTACCTGCATCTCTTCATTTGGGTGCACCTGAGGTTGGGTTGTTTGTTGTGGTTGTTGGTGAATCAACGGTTGCCCTTGTTGAGTAGAAGGTTGTTGCTGCTGGAGACGTAAAGTTGTTGCTGTTGGTGCTGAAGTTGCAATTGTTGCTGCTGCTGTTTTAATAGTTGCATTTGTGCTGTTGGGGGATGATAATGAGCACTGCTAGTTGCATATTAGGTTTCCAATGCGTTTACAAAAGCGTTGGATGAATTAAATTGCCCCAAGGGACTACCTCGTTCGTTCACTCTTTGCCACTCCCTGTCACCGATTGCTATTGCACTCACTCGTGAAAATATGTCTAATATAAAGCAACGAAAACAAAATGTTAATTATTGTGGTGTGAAAATGCCCTTTTTATAACAGTTACTATAAGATTGAATGAATTTAATATAAATATTTATATAGTAATAAATCAATACCAAAAAAATATTTATATAATTATAAAAACGTTATCTACGTAAAATTATTCATCTACATCTATATAAGCTCGTGTGCAGACTGAGGAAGGCCGCAGTGTGACGGCCGAAATGTTAGCATCTGTGCCTAGGAGGCGGCGTCTCTCGGCCAGTCAAGTCGATTCTGACCCCCGCCGCGGAATCCTACGCTTTCATCGGAGGTACACATTGCGTTCAGAGCGCGTTGGCTTTCAGTGACAGAGTTCCAATTGCGAGCGTTTGAGGATAAAGTCGGGATAGTAACGGCAAACTTTCGTGTTAAAGACAGAACGGAACAACCCATAAAAGGGTATAAATGTCCATTAGTGTTTTAGGATTTTGTAGTGATTAACATGTAAACATGAGCACAGGCAACACATAATACATATAGAGAATGAATTTGGGGACACGCTCTACTCGAAGGCAATGAATCGCCGCCAAGGTAGTCTTTAGAACCAAGAACCCCTGCTTACTCAGTTTCTTACGACGAATGCCAATTCGGAAGTTAACCTTGTAGAACCAAAAAGGAAAGGAAATTATCTCCAATTTACATGCTACTAACACAGATCTCAACTCAAAATATTCTGTTATGCCTATCAGCAATAAATGAGCAGTAGCATGTGTCCTATTTGGAGGCGGCACATTTGAGAAATGTGATTACCAAAATTTACTTATTTACTCAAGGTAATATCTCCATTCTTCTTCCTCTTCTTTCTCATTTTCTTCCTCTTTTTCTTTCTCTTCATTTTCTTCCTCTTTTTCTTGTTAGCAAGGATCAACATTATTTGCTTCCATTTTTTTTTCTTTTGTCCACTTTACCTATCTAGTTTCTAATCTTCATTGTCTTAGGGTCACATATTATACCATCCTTCCATCTTTATTTTACCCTTCCCTATGTCCCGAATCTGGTAGAGTGACATACTTTCTTTGTAAACCTATTATCTATCGTTCTACAAAAGTGCTCATATCAGCTTAATTGTAATGCTATAACAATATATTAGTGTTTAACTACATTTTATTCTCCAAGTTTCATTTGTTGGTTTAAATATGCCAAAGATCCTTCTCGAAATTTTCCTTTCAAAAATCTTCGAATGTCAACTTCTCTGAAAACTCACATTTCGGTTTGTGTCTGGCTGTTGTGTGTGTGGTAATATATGGCAGTATTACTGTCATATTTTAGAATTTTTACAAATCAATTCTGAAAAATATTTTCATTGCATTTTTGCATTTCATTGCCATCTTTTATCCTCTCTTTTAATTCTGCTTCGAGATGATTATGGGTATTCACTTTATACGCAAGACCTTTATATGAAATGACATCCTTGATAACTAATATTAACAATTTTATGACTTATAGCTTAGTTGTTTTCGGTTTGTATTTCATGTATTTTGTTTTACGGTTATTTATAATTAATCCGTACTCTAAGGAGTGAACTTTCAAATGTCGAAACATTTCATCAATCGCAGACCTAGATCTAGTTGTTAAAACGAAGTCACTGGCTTATACGATACATTATTTTCGATGTTTCGAAATTTTATTCGTCCAGATGCTTCGTAGAGACATCTTTTAACATATTAAAGAGAACAGCGCAAAATGGATATTGTTTTGGACCGATTGTTACTTCAAAATCACTACGATGATCATTATTAACTTTGATTCTAGTTTAATACAGTGTAAGATAATGTGTGCGTGATTAATTTATTTACTTTACTTTGAGTTTATATATATCGTAAGGCATGAGTGTAAATAACTCTCCCTTTTCTTAAAAAAATAAAGATGTCAAATATGATTTGACCTTTTCCGAAAGACTGGCGGTGTAACGTCATCCTTAAATTGAACACTAAAATGTAATATTGAAAAGAAAACGTTAGAGCTCGCACCTTTAATGAGATGCAAACATGGGAACAGTACATCAATTTCTCTTTGATGAAGAGTTCAACTGTGCACAAAATGTGGATGCATATTTCGTATAACTGAGAAATTAAAAGCTAAAAACGAAATCTTAAATTTATCGCTAACACGAAGAAATGTACATATAATATCAAAAATATGCAAGGAGATAGTTGTTATTCATACACACTAGAATGGTAATTCAATCTAAAAATTATTAACTATAGAATGGCATACTCATTTTGTCATTTACATAATCAAAGAAGAATCGTAGATCGTGTTATTTAAAAGTCATGAAGAATATATTCGAAACAATTAAAGAGATCTATATATTCAAATAGAATAAGTGTCATATGTAGGTTATCAGCGACATTAACTACTTACTACACAATGCACAGATTGCTTAGTGGTAGAACTATTGAAAATCCTATGTGGGAAAAACAGGTGTTTTGTAAGCAATAAATAAAACTAAGTTCCATCGTAAAGGACAGATAAATGTCTTTCAATAAAAGGCAGAGTGTTATTACAAACAATAATATTTACAGCTAAACGAACAGAGGGCAGAATATGCGGTCATTTTACTACCTTCGCCCAGCATTTTATGCTATATTAAATATGAGTACTTGAGAGTGATTTGCTTTAGAACACAAAAATGTCCATCAAACGATAATGAAAATGAAAATCAATACCAACATTCACTTTAAAATGTTTCCTCCTGCAAAATATCTGGAACGATAAAAACTACGCATAATTAAAATTCAATAAATATTATTAATGATATCGATTGAATGAAAACGATTTTCCAGTGTATTGTGGTTGATATTTAGAAACTAGGCACTCATTTGTAATATTCCACAGCGCTCAACTTACTTGTAATACACCACAGCGTGCGTTCCGGTAGGTAAAAAAAAAGAAAAAGGAGCGATAATCGCTGACTAGAGTAGGAAAGAGCTCACTCACCGGGTTTGATGCAGCTCATGCCGCAGGCTCCGTCGCACAGGCACTTCTTCTTCTTGCTCTTGCAGTCCTCGTCCGAGGAGCACTTGCGCAGGCACTTCTGCCCCTGCAACAGGCGCCGCCCCGCCCCCTTCCCGTCAGCGCTGCGACCTTCAGCCTCCCCCCCCCGCCCCACCTCCCGTCATCGCTCAGCGCGCGCGGCGACAATGGAACGCCGCTTCACTCGAGTTGCTGCTCCTCGAAAGCACTGCTCTCACGTGCTAGTTATTTGCGAAATAAGTATCGTAATACTTTATATTAGAACACGAGATTGGAAAAATGATCAAGTCAGGACTTTGAGCTACAATCGATAACGAATCGATAAGTGTAATGAGATGTTTCAATACGGAAATTATTATCAAAATTATTATTATTAACAACAACATAATAATAATATATTATATTATAATTTTAGGTAAATTAGTTAGTAACCCTTCACTACATAATGTAAAAGTTTATTATTATTAACAAAATAATAATAATAATAATAATAATAATAATAATAATAATAAACTTTTACATTATGTAGTGAAGGGTTACTAACTAATTTACCTAAAATTATAATACAAACAAATTTGGTTCTGAAAATCATCTTCAGTCAACTCTAAAAACAATCTATATGGTAAAATTGGACTAGGAATGCCTGGTATGGATTTCTATCTTTAATTCTGACTCTGTGGGGAGAGAGATCGGAGTCTGAAGTTGGCTAGGTGTGAGGTACGGAGTGAGAGATCTAGGTGTAAAGATATGGTATTCTACGGAGCCAATTTGGAATTCTTTGTGGTGTTGTGAGTTTGAGGCAAGTCAAGGAACATTTGTGATTAATCTAAGGAAGTGATTCTAGAATGTTTGAAGCTTTTTAATGTTTGTTTTTGCAATGGAGATCCAAACTGGACGCACAAAGAGGAAGAATCGTTTAATGATAGTTTTGTAGATGGTTTTGGCCTTTGAGAATGGGAAGTGGGAACATCAATTAATGACGGGTTTTAGTTGTAGCTTTTATATTTTTGCTTGTATTTTAATAATGATGTGTTAATTCCTACTGAATTTAGTACCCTTATTAAGACCGAGATATTTTGTTGGACTACTTTGGGTGAGCAAGTTAATAGGTTAATTATTTATTGCAGGCGGTGCTGGAGGCGTATAGGTTCTTGGAATGAATATATATCAACACGAATATCGTACAACGTTTTATTCGCTTTGTAAACAAAACAATGATCTATAATTTTCCTTTAAATTTGACTACACATCCTGCAAAGATGGCAAACTGATGTCGATACTATTTAAGAGAAGGGCATGGATAATTTGAGCACTTATGTTCTAATCATTCTTAATTCGAAACAGATCTCAGTTACCTAAAGATTGACTATAGATAACCATAGGATATAAAGTATTTTAAAAACTTAAATTATGTTTTTGAAAAAATTACCACCTAAAATAGTTCATTTTCAACTAATTTCATTTATTACACTGGAGGTTTGCCATATGCCGGAGCATTTTTAAAAAGGTCTGCTTTTGCAAATCAATCCTGGCAAGGTGATTTAATCGGATGGAGTTAATTATAAAACGTTGCCATTCCGCGATAATACCGACATCAATATCACTTCAACATCAAGTCGCCCATTTATGGATCCGGACTCCCCACTCAATTATGATTGTATAATTAAATCAGAACTCCCACATAAAACTACCTACCCTCACCTTTACGTAAATATTCCTTACTATCATTAGTTTGACCCTCAATATCATTGTTTTGTCGAACTTCACCGCTCTCTAATGCGGATCTTTTAGTAACATAACATCTACAGCTATCCTATTAATTTCCAAGGCGTGCAGAAATTGAAAGAAAACTATGCAGTCTCTGAGAGAGGTGACTGCGCTATCCTTGAATACCCAGAAACCCAAGAAAATCTAAAAAAAATTAAAACAATCTATTTTACTTTAGAACATAAGTATTTGATTAATAATTACATTTGCACACGTAATAATAATCATTACATTTGTTCAAAGAATTTGAACAAATGATGACAATTATAAATTCTGCCTATTCTCAGTCTGCGTTTACTGACTGATTCCTCATTTTCAAAGTGTCACTGCTTACGATAAAGTGGGCGTCACGCTTCAGCAAGGTTCCAATAAAGAGGACGTCCGTCATTTAATATTTGAAATTCACATGTGCATAATGAAACAGCAATTTTTTTTATATTGTTGGTGTATAAAAAACTGTTGCACTTTGTATATAACTAGTTGCTGCAGTATTCGTGAAGATTGTTTTTGTTAACAAATTAAGTCATTCCAATGTTATACGATACTATTTTATTTCTTGTTCTTGAACAGTATACGTGCCTCTTTTTGGAAAACTATTTAGTGTGGTTTTGCTCAGAGCATTTTTACTGCTCCAAGTGTGCAACTTTTTCTCTAAAATCTCTTTGTCGCCATCTCTCACGGCGTCAACAGGTCCATTAAACATCGTCGCTCCTATGAAGTCTACAAATCCCTCACGACGATCCGAGACTTACACTCGCTCTAGCGGTTGCGAAATCCCACGGCTCGACGCTACTTTGCAACCCCTCGCTCGCGCGCCGAAGCTGCTAAATCTCCTGGCGTTTGGGGAGGTCCCCCAATCACCACGCTGGCGCGCTGTTATAAATCATACGTTAGCGGGTACAAATAGTAACATTTTACAGCTAATGAAATGAAACGTATAAGCGATGAAGTAACTTAGAAGTGCAACTTATTTTGTCGTGTTAACGAAGTGTATTAATAAAATCAATATGTCAAAAAATGTCACGGAAGTGCCTCACAATGTGTTAATTCTTTGCTTTCTTTATTCGTTTTCCCCTTCTTTGCTACGCAATTTGAAGTTTTTTCGAGCCTGTGAAATTTGTGAAATCGGAAGTCACTCAAATGTAGTGGTGCTACAACCGCACGTATGGTCTTGCACTTAGTAAAGGTTACGTAATATTATAGTATCAAAATGTTTGTCCGTATTGACACAAACATGCTCTCTCTCTCTCTCAAAAATCAAAATAATTAGTTAAAACTTGCAGGGCCTCGAGTTTATTCATTTCGACTGTGGAATTTCAATTTTGGAGAAAATGGGCTGAAGAGTTTAGGCGCTAGCGTTGACCACAGACTGACGGACGGACAGACAGACAAACGATTTGCCATCAATCGATTTTGTGGTGTCAGGGACCCCAAAACATAGATTCCGACTACACATGACAGTGGAAGAAATTTACTACAAATAATAAGATTTATCCAGTTTGTTGTCAGGGCCATCGTTTTCATATCAAGATAGTTTTTATGTCGCCGTTTCTCTCCCCAGCATTACAATACGTTATTTACACTGTGTAAGCACGCGATAAAGTAAAAAGCATAATAAAACACTGATCTACTAAAGTGAAATAAGAAACTCAAATAAAACTAAATTGTTATTATAAACGATCATGCGCTTTTTTCGAATATAAAATAGATTAGCCAATGCATCTGATCAGCACAGTGGGACCAAATGTTTATAAATATATGACCGTAAAGCACAAGATAAACATTGTGTCGCGACTGCAGGCTGCGTAATTTGCATGCGTGTATCTGCAGTAAGCTGTAGGCTTCCACTAATTGGCAAAATGTGATATATAATGCACATAAAGTTATATTAATAAAAACTCAACTTCCATTTCATTATTCAGTGTTTTGCCCTCATACCAGCACAAGCTCAAAGATTACAAGTTCAAACTTGAAAACAAATAATTCTGTTGACAAAAAAGTGCGGCCGTGTGTGCCAAAATGTGTCAATACGCATACATTTCGAAAACTCTAAAGGATAATATACAGCCTGAATTTTTTTCCTCTGTAATTTCATTAAAAACGTTTATTTCTAAAACTACGGTCTAATTATCGGTATAATATAGTATAATTAATTAATCTGATTGTATAAAGAACAATACCTAATAGTTGTCACGTTGCTTTGTATTTATATTGACATGTGCTCATCTGCCGCGCATTATCATATTTATCACATCATAGACGTCTCCTTCAAACAAGACTCTGTCATAATTTTAAAATCAGTAGAATCACAAGATTTACAAAGGGTATAACTACCACATAGTAAATTTTTCAGGAATCATGAAAACATTATCTGCATTCCTACCCAATGTTGAAGCTTGAATATTTTGCTGTTGCTTCCCTTATTATCTCAAATGATAGTTCTAAAAGACTAGTGGCGTTACAGAATACCTCAGAGTTCCTCGCACTAGTTAGTTTTCTAATATTTTTAGTTCAAGCTGGCTTTTCGATATCGACCCACCCTCTTCTCAGCTGCTGGTTTCAAACGGCGCAAAAACGAAATTTTATCATATTTTCTCAATTTTTCGGTCCCAACTGGAAAACAGTCCTACATATAAATTTTCATTAATACATTTGAATCCGTTCTTGAGAATATGTTTAAACCTTTCTAAAAATAGGCACTATTAAGCGCATTTTCACAGAGAAGTCTTAAATTTTCAATCAACTTCATTAGAAATGTTTTAAGGACCCATGTATTCCCAAATGCAATAATGTTAAATAAATGACCGTAATGTAAAATATTAATAACGTGAGATATATTTTACATAAAATACATTTTGAAATTTAAAAAAATTAAAAGATTAAATCAAAATGGCGATAATGTCATTTTATTCGATATATTTAGCACTATCCTTACCAAACATTTAAAGATAAAATTTGTTGCTTATTTTGAGAAATGGTTTTCGAATCACAATTCTGAAATATTGCACATATTTCACTCAAAATTACGCGAAATATATACATAATTTGAAAAAATGTGTCCTTATTTAAAGATATAATTTTGAAAAACAGATTTTATTCAGGGGAAAAAATATTTTTCTCAATGCTTAAATTGGAGAAAGACTCCGAAAAAATTGATCTTTTGCAATTTTCGAAATTTTAGATATTTTAACAAAATAGAACTGCAACAGATTTCTAAGTTTAAACCAAAATTTTGGAGCCTTTTTGAGAAAAATTTGAAAATTATCTTGATGATTCACGTAACGTACACCACTGCATTGT